TCTCTCTCTCTCTCTCTCTCTCCCTCTCTCTCTCTCTCTCTCTCCCATGTGCATGCACACGCATGTGAACAGGTTTCACCCTGTAACACATCCCCTTCTCATCGTGTGCTTCCTTAACTTTCCTTTAAGCAAAGCCTGTGCAACTATACTTCCTTATTCAATCCCCACCATATGTGTAGGTGGATAGCATAGCAGTTTGGAAGCAGACTCAGGACCTGGAGAGCTTGGGTTTGAGTCTTATCCTTTCTACTTATCAGCTCTTTGGTCACATGGAGAAGTTGCTTCACCTCTCTGCCTCGTCGCCCTCATTTATAGAATTAGCACTGTGAATATTAATTCTAGAGCGTTTAGGATATCAGGCACAGTCATTACTTAGTAGATGCTAATTCTCCCCATCACAGGATGGCAGGGATGTTTGGAATTTATTCTAATTCACAAAACACACTCCTCTTTTTGCTTATCTTTGCTCCTCCCTGGGTCCCATAAGCCACAGTCTGTGAACTCAGGCATACTATTCTCCCCAGACCCCCAAATTCCTGATGGATAAGGTGGGCGGTGGGCGTCTAGTGAGGACAAGAAGCACATTGCCATGTCTTGCCAGGCAGAAGGCAGGGGTTGGCTGTGTAGGGTGATCTAAAGGGCCCTAGATGGAGAGAAGCAGGCTTGGGGTATTGCCAAGGCGCGGCTGCTAAGTCATCGCTCTGAATTTCTTCTCTCTGCAAAACAGTTTCCTTAACTCTAAAGAGGAAGGTGTGGAAGCTGATAAGTGTTTCCCAAAGGGTTTTCTGCAAAACTCCAGCCCTATTACATCATTATTGAAACATGACCTGTTTTAGTTTGGGTTCCCCACAAAGCGTACTCTGAGAAATGGCTTGGGCAACAAGTGGATTAATCAGGAACTGATCCCAAGAAGCACGATGAGGGTTGGAGAAGGGAGAGAAGGGTGACAGGAAAGCTATCAGACAGTGCATTAAGGACAGAGCTGCCCACGTGGGGAAGTGGGACTCCATGCTCCTGGGATCCCTTGAGAGACCTAGTAGAACATTCCATGGGATTGTCCTGCCAAGATGAGGAATCTGAGATATTTAACAACGCTGTTGAAGGGTTATTCTTTCAAGTGAGGAGAGAGAAGTTGCTTGAGATCAGAAGCCAGTGGAGTGCACAGAAACTATCCACTGAGGCCCAGGTAACTCCAGGGGGACCAAGAGGACATGGCTGGTCCCACGTCATCTGTTGCACAGACCAAATGCCCACTCCATCTCCCTCTTTTTTATTTTTATTTTCTTTGCGGTACGCGGGCCTCTCACTGCTGTGTCCTCTCCCATTGCGGAGCACAGCTCAGGACCCGCAGGCTCAGCGGCCATGGCTCACAGGCCCAGCCGCTCCGCGGCATGTGGGATCCTCCCGGACCAGGGCACGAACCCGTGTCCCCTGCATCGGCAGGCAGACTCCCAACCACTGCGCCACCAGGGAAGCCCTCCATCTCCCTCTTGGAGAGGAGGACACACAACTTCGGGGGGAAGTAGAGTAGAGAGATGAGGATCTCAAGGTTGGCTCAAAACCCTGTTACTTAATGGCTGTGGGACTCAGGGTAGTGTCTCAATCCTGTTAGACATCAGTTCCCTTGCTGGTAAAATAAGGATGACAGGGTTGAACAAGGATTAAAAGAGAATAAAATATACAGAGCCCTTTTCCCAGGACCCCCCATATAAGTACCCAGTAAATTTTGCACATTTTCTTTTATCATTATTCCACTAAAGGTTATGCAATATTCTGTAGGGAAGAAATTGGTATCACTAGGCTGAGGACAGCATTTCCCATCCTGTTTACCTACAGACACCTTTCTTATGCTACAGGAGGTGAGACCTCAGTTTCCTCCAGATTTTATGCTTGTCTGTGAGACACAGAGAGCGCCCCCCACCCCTCGCCACAGGACACTGACTCAGCAATAAATCGAGCCATGTTGTTGGCTGGCAAATTGCTAATCTCTTGAGAATCCCTCTGAGCCCTTTTCGCAGAAAGACAATTATGCAAAAAACCCTAAATGCTTGTATTCTAACCGTGCCATCAGTGAGCCAGGAGGCCATCCTCCCACCCGTATTTCTCTGCTTTGTAGATGAAAATCAGACAGCTTTGGTTGCTTCCTTTTTTATGGTTATAATTAGAGAACACGCACCTGCAAAGAGATCCACTTCTCCGTGGCAGTAAAAGGCTTTAAGTCAATCTACGTGGCAGATAATATTTACTTATGTTAGGACCTGAGGTGTGTCTCCTAATCCGTGAGTTCTGCTAAACAGGAGAAATAATCTCTACCTCTCTGAAGCTGTTTGAGAGCCAAATGAGAAGCCATGTCAATCCTCTTGGTGAACTCTAAGGTACCAAAATAAGTAAATAGGTAAAGTATTAGATGCAAGGACCGTTCATGCAAACGTCCAGAAGAACAGAAAAAGGGTTGTGGCCGGAAGAAAGTGAGACTGAGTTCTTCTAAGCCTTCAGGTATAATATTGGTTTTAAAATGTATCGTGTGGAAGGAAGGGTGCTTGCCTGCGGCGGGAGCGTGAGGGGTGGGGAAGCGGGGAGTTAGTGTTTAATCGGGACCGTTTCAGTTCGGGAGGATGAAAAGTTCTGAGATGGATGGTGGTGATGGCGGTACAGTGTGAATGTACTTAATGCCACCGAGTTGTACACTTTTAAAAGTGGTTAAAATGCTAACTTTTACCTTATATACACTTTCCCACAATTTAAAGAATGGAAATTGGAATTAAATAAAGAAGGGGAAACCATAGCACGGAATAGCTATCATGTCTCTCCAGGGGGTAGGGAGTCAATAAGGAACCTAGGCACATGGGATCCTTGCCAGGGCTGTGCCCGCCTTCTCGTGGGGAAGACACGTGAGTGGAAGGAGCTTTGTGATCCAGGAAGAGAGGTGTTCCAATGGCAGCTTCCCAGGGGCCACGGCGGCACAGAGAACCCGTGCTGGGGGCGGTGTTTTTCTGGAAACACGTCCTGATCATCAGCCAGGTCGGGCGGAGGGGGAGGTGGGTCTGATTCTGGCAGAGGGAAAAGCCAGTCTGAGGCAGGAGAGAGCCCAGGGCACACGTGGGAGCCGGAGACAGGCGCAGGGGGGGAGCGGGGAGAGCGTGAGGGATGACGGGGTCGGAAAGTGAGAAGCTGCCGGATCAGCGGGTCCGGTGAGTCATTTCCCCCAGGGGCACTGGGGAGCTATGGGAGCATTCAGAAAGGGGAATGACACACTCAAGTGAGCCTTTCTGCAGCAAACGGCGGCAGCAGCGCGGAGGACGGTGAGGTGACACGGAGCAAGATGGGCCACAGAAAGAACACTCAGGAGGTGTTGCAGTGTCAGGGTAGTGCCCTCTGCGGCTGTGGCAGTGTCCACAGAGCCAAGCGGGCAAGTGGCAGAGTGTCTAGGGGTGAAGGATGGAGGAGGATTCCTGGCTGGGGCAACTGGGCAGGTGGGGAGCTGAATACACATTGGCTGCCGGGATGTTTGGGTAGGTGGCTGTTTGGGTGGATGGTGGATGGATGGATGGATACTGTGATTCCTTTGAAACTTTGCCTTTGAACACATTGTTCACCTCGAGACATTGTAATTCCTTTGAAGTCCTTGCAAATACATTTCAAGCCTCCTCTGACCCTCTCCTTCCAAGCTCCCTCCTTTGGGTTCCCATGGCATCCTGCAATTTCCTTTTCTAAGCACTCTGTTAAGCTCATCCGCTTACTTCTCTGCCTCTATACACTTTAATGAAAGGAGGGACTATATCTTTCTTCTCTGTGCTCCCAGTGTCTGCCTAATAGAGGATGTTAATTAGTACATGTTGAGTGAAGGGACATGTCCCACCAGACTTCCAATCCACCAGATTATAAGCCTCATGAGAGCAAAGCCATGCCTGTCTTGTTCTCCATCCTGTTCCCCGAGTCTGCCTGCCATGCAGAAAGTGTCTGATCATGAGTATTTGGTCCAGTTGAAGCAGCAGGCCTGGCCTCATGCTGAGGTAGAACATGGATTTTCTTAAAGGGCCAGATATGAAAAATGTACCTGAATAAATCTTTGCTCCTAGGAAACTTCCCTAGTACCACGGGACTGCCGATTTTAGCATTCTTTCTCCATCTTTCTTATACTTAGCTGTGAGAAGGAATTTTTCCCCTCAGGGCTTTGGGACTTAGCACACACACTTATGCACTTTTTCACTCTCTCATTCATTCATATATCCATTCACTCATTTATTTATTCTTTTAACAATGTCTTTCAATCTGCTCCGGTCACAAAAGCTTAGGGGTTGGTTTGTTGCTTCTAGACACTGTCTTTTTTTTTTTTTTTTTTTGCGGTACGCGGACCTCTCACTGCTGTGGCCTCTCCCGTTGCGGAGCACAGGCTCCGGACGCGCAGGCTCAGCGGCCATGGCTCACGGGCCAGGCCGCTCCGCGGCATGTGGGATCTTCCCGGACCAGGGCGCGAACCCGCGTCCCCTGCATCGGCAGGCGGACTCTCAACCACTGTGCCACCAGGGAAGCCCTAGACACTGTCCTTTAACAGTGACGTGAGATGAAGGTTGTCTTGAGGATGCGGTGCTCGTCAGGATGTTCATTAAAAACAAAATACTTAGGAGATCTGAGATCTCTTTCTTCATACTCTTAAAGACCTATGCGAGAAGGAATGGTCTAGGCGAGTTATGGGAAGCAGATGTCAGTTCCCTGAGAAGAACTGGCTCACCGGCCCGCTGATCTGGCAGCCTCTCACTTTCCAACCCCGTCTTGCAACCCTCATCCCTCACGCTCTCCCCGCTGGGGAGAGGCCCAGCCCAACCTAGCTGGGGGAGGCCTCTCTGTGAGCTGGGGCCCCTGCTTCCTGTGTGTGCAGAGAATCCTAGCGGCTGGGTGCGAACCTGGCTGAGATGTTGCGTGCTCATTTTCCACGTGGGGTCACAGATGGGGACAGGTGAACTCTGAATTCCATTTTGAGCTCCTGGAATCCGAAGGCTGAATCTCTTGCAGTCTTACTTTCCTTTAATCCATCCGTGACGCTTTTTCAGCTAATTTGCTCACCTCTTGAATGGAGGAACCGTGTCTCATCGAGCCAGGGCCGTGGTCCCAAATATGTCAGGTGTGAATCTTTGCTTGGCTATTAGCTGTGTGACCACAGAATCGCTTCATAACCTCTGAGCCCTGATGTCCTCCTCAAGTGAGGAGCCCTACACCTGCCTTATGGGTTGTCATGAAAATTGCATGCGATGGTTTATGTGAAAACTCCCAGGACCACCTGGGGTACAGAAGGCAGGGCGAGCGTGGTCATTCATTGCCATTTATGGACAACCAGCTCTGTCATTTTTGGTGTGTGACCTCGCAAAACTGTGTACAGAGAGCCTCGTGTCAACACCCTTCTGGCCAAATAAAACCCACCTTCGTGACTCTATTAGCTGGTACACGTGGAGCTCTTAGAACAATGGCGGCCACGTGTAAAGCACTGGCGTTATATAAACGCTAGCAACCACGGTTACCTGTGGTGTGTGCCCTCCTGGCATCCTGCACAGCCCCCAGCTTAGTTCTCACCAGACTGTCCTGTAACTGCTGACCTTCACCTGTCTTGTCCAGCATCTGCAGTAGTGCCTCCCTGCTCCCTCCCCGCCCTAAGTTAAGGAGTGCAGAGCCCGCTGCGGCCTGACGCTCAGCTCTGCAGCGTTGTGTTCAACGCACCAGCTGGACTTCCCAGGAGCGCTGTCTGAGGAGTCCTGCCCCCAGGCCAGGGCCTCACACTGCACAGCGCGGGGCCTCCCAGCAGTCTGGGCAGCCTCCAGGCCCCACTTGCAGTGTGTCAGGGGCATGGGCATGGGGCACAGGGCCCGGGTAATTAGCACGTATCTGTGAGGTGGGTGGAATTCCTGGGAAGTCATAACTACTTAAGCTGAGTCTGTGTGGTGATAAAATATTCCAGGAAAATGTCAAGTGCAAAGTGCCGGCAGCCAAGTGTCATTTCTGACTCTGCAGCTGGGGAGAGGACGGTGTTAGGACACATAAGAACGGGGACGTTTGGGGAGTGTCTGGAATTCCAGTTAGTTCTGAGCTTCTCCCAGGCTGGACCTCACCGACTCAGGGCTGAGTCCATTGTGAAATATTTGGCCGAAGGGGTATTGACATGAGACTCTTTGTGCAGAGTTTTCCCGCGGGAACCAGTGCCTGAAGACAGGTCTCAAAGGGGCTGTTTTCCTCTCCCTCGTGTGGAGTCTCATGCTAGGAAACAGTGGAGCCTCTTCTGAAAAGATGCTGTGAAGTACACCTAGGAGTGCATCTGGGAGTGGGGCGGGGCGGGGGCAGAGCCGCGTACTTGGAGGTCATTTGGATTGTAATATAAACAGATCCCAATTGGCTTTTTATTTTATATTCTTTTGGCCGTGCCACGCGGTGTTTAGTATCTGAGTTCCCTGGCGCACCCCCCTGCAGTGAAGTCCCCGCAATTTGCTTAATTAAGACAGAAAGGTTCCTTTGTAGGAAGGATCCTGATCAGCTCAGGGACTGAAGTAAGACTTGAATAACAAAGATGCCCAAAGGAAGCGTCTAGAGTAGTGAAACCAGAGCTTATGGTGTTTGGGGTTCTCTCAGAGCAGGGGGTGGGCAATCTTTCACTGTAAATATCTTCTGCTCTGGGGACCACACTCAACTCTGACCTTGTAGAGCACAAGCAGCTACAGACCACATAAACGAAGGCACGTGCCTGTGTTCCAAGACCTTTTATTTACAAAAGTGGGCACCTGGCAGCTGTGGTCCTCAAGCGGTTTGTGCTGGCCCCTGTGAAGCTGCGGAGAGGGGCGTGGCTTTCTCCATCCACCTCCACCCCGAGCTTCTCTCAGCAGTGGGACCACTTGGCCCCCATCCCTGCAAGGTTGATCCTGATTGGTTTAGTACCCCAGGCCTAAGTCAATCAATTCACTGAGGCACCACTGACCTCAGGGGCTGGCTCAGGATGGTGCAATCAGAGTAAAGCAGGGAAGTTTTGCTCATTGAAAGGAGAGATGGTCTCTCCTCTTTCCCTAGATCCCTGATTCTGTCCATTTCCCCTCCTCCACCACTTCCTCCTCCTGCCCCTTCTCTCCCTCACCTCCTTTCTTTCTCTCCCTTCATCTTTTTCTTCAGCATCTCTGTCTCCTTCTCTCTCTTTTCCTCTCTCCCTTCCTCTCTCTCCCTCTCCTGTGCAGGAATAGCTGCTATCTATGAAGGAGCTCATGGAATTTGAGGTTTTCATTAACCTAGAATCCAGGGTTTTTTTCCACATTCCTTTCCACTTCAAGTTACATCAAATTGAGATAATTCAGTGCCCTGAGCCATTACTATGTGCCGGGTAGCAGTGAGTCCTAGGCCCTGGAGGTATAGAGATGAATAAGCCATTCCCATGTCCAGCAAACTCATGGCTGGTAAGGGGGATGGACACACAGTCAAGCAAAGGGCCAGCAGGGGCCATGTCTGAACAGAGGTTGGAGGGAACT